ACATTTGTATGAGTTGAGCTTCAGGGCAACGTGACCGGAAATGCCAAAGATGACTGAGACGTGCTCTATATGAGTTTCACATGTTGGTGAAAAAATGACGACGTTGTCCAAGTAGGACAAACGAGTGGATCATTCGAATCTTCTGAGCAGGGAGTCCATCATTCGTTCGAAGGTAGCTGGTGCATTACAGAAGCCAAGAGGCATGACTTTGAGCTAATAAAGGCCATCGAGGGAGATGGTGCCGTTTTTTACGGTTGATTTCATCTACTTTAACCTACCAGTTGCCGGAAGGAAGGTCTGTAGAGGAAAAATAGTGGGACCCATAGAGGTAATCAAGGGCATCAACTATTCGTGGCAGAGGGTACACGTCTTTTTTGGTAATTTTTGTTTAGGTGTCGATAATCGATGAAAAAACGCCATGCGCCGTCTTTTTGCGGACTAACAGGACAGGAAAAGCTCAAGGACTGCAGTATGGCTCAATGATTTCTTGGGCGAGAATTTTGTCGACCTCCCTTTGAATAATGTGACGCTCGGCCGCCAACAACCGATACGGACGCCTATGAATAGGATGCTTATTACCAGTGTTAATGCGGTGGGTCATACCAGTAGCTTTCCCCAATGGACGGCTACTGAGGTCAAAAATTTTGATGTAGAACAGCAGAACCCGGTGGAGCTTGTCAGTCTGCTGTGGCGTTAAGTTGGATGTGATCACCGACCTAATAGCGCTGTCGGAGCAAGTGTCGTTGAGCGTGGGGGTCAGAAGGGTCGGCCATCATGAAGACGTCTACCATGTTGTCTTCTCAGGTGCAGAGCAACTCCAAAAAGACCCCTTGTGGCAGCACTTGAGGTGTTCAACTAAAGTTGACAACTGAAGGCACATGGAATTCCCTGCGATGGACAAAATGATGTGCGGTAACGTAATGCCGTGGTTGATGGCGACATCAGTGATAGGGATCAGAACACAGTCACCATCGAGAACTGGTGGTATTGAAACAAGTTCTACGTAGGTCATTGTCTATGGAGGGAGGCGCGCATGTTCCGTTGTGCAGAGACGACTCGGCCGTTGTGCAAGAGGTTCTGTTGCGGGCAAGTGTACACTGAGTGTACTGGTCGAACAGACTATGAGGACAGAGTGCACGGAAAAGAAGTCGAGACCTAGGATTACGTCGTAGGGATATTTCATCAAGGACGGTGAAGAGAACAACTGTGTGTCGATCCACGACGCTTACATGAGCGGAGCATATTCCAACGATAGATGCTATTCCACCATTCGCAACAGAGACGAACAGAGTGATCGCAGGTGTCAGAACTTTCTTGAGCTTTCGGCGAAAATCACTCGTCATCACGGAAAGTCGAGCTCCGGTGTCGACAAGAGCAGTCACATGCACTCCGTCTACTTGAACGTCTATAAGGTTCCGTTTCGTTTGTATTGTGAAGAGAGGATTTTCTGTCAGTTAGGGCGATGCAGTGCCACCTCCGGGGGCTGCAACACTTAGTTTTTCCTCGGGGAACCTCGTTGGAAGGCGGGGGGAGATGGTCGGTGGGGCAGTTGAGGACAAGACTGGCGACGTTGGGTGGATGGAGAGCGGGAGTAGTGGTGTTTAGTAAACAGGTTCCTAGGCAAAATGGTCGCGGCTGGTCTCATGGCGATAGGGGGGACGTGCATGGAAGGTACGAGAGGAAGCTTGTGCAGGAGGACCCCAGTGTCTTCTGCAATGGCGAGAAATGTGCCCAGTTCAGTGACACAAGAAGCAGATCGCCTTGTCATTGTATGTTCGTCATGTGGACGGATTATGGAACGTTGAGGGAGACCGGTCGGTAAGGGACGTGCAGGCGCGTGTTGGGGCTGGAAGTCGGTGCGGGGAAGAGGGTAAATAGAGCGAATTCCCAAGCTGGCAATTTCCTGCCGGTAGACTGCTTGAATGAGGGGCAACGTAATTGAAGGAGAGGGGTCCGGGGATGTTAGTTTCATGTTATTTTAAGCAGCCGCTTTAAGTTCCCGCCTCACGAGTCGCACCAAGTTGTCACAGGTCTCTGGTAAATAGTATGTGTCGAGACACGAGAACGTCTGGCGGTATTTGGAAGGCGCTGGAACTGATGAGAGATGCGCCTGCTTTCAGCTTGTTGGAGCCGGCGGCACTCTCAAATAATGGCATTAACAGATGATACATTGTTGAATAAGAGCAAGTTGAACGCATCGTCGGCGATACCTTTGAGTATATGCGCAACTTTGTCAGGCTCAGAAATGTTCTCGTCGGTCGTGCGATCTAGGACGAGGACATCTTGAATATAACATTTTATAGGGCTCGGTGTAAGTTTGTGCGCGAGTTGATAACTCATTCTTCGCGGCTTGTCAACGACCACACGGGTTTCCAATAAGCACACGGATCTGTTCTTTGAAGCTGTCCTAGTTTGTAATGTCATGTTCATGGTATCGAACCAGATACGAGGGGTTCCATTGAGGTAAAAAATCACGTTTGCGATGATGAGCGTGGCATCCCACCTGTACGTATTGACACTGACTCGTTCGTAGAGGCGTAGCCATTATTCGACGTCCGAACCCTCGTGGCCCGAGAACACGCCATGGTCTTTGAGGGCGGGAAGCGTCACGAAAATTGTTGCGTTTGATGGGTTGGCAGGCTGGACAGGAGACCGGGCGACCTAAGGAGATCTAGGTGAACCTAGAGTGGTCATGTTGAAAGCCGGGAGCGAGCGTCTGCTTCGGAGTTCCGTGGTGAGGTCGGGGATCACACCAGTCCACCAAATATGTTACGAGAAGGAGACCGACTCGGAATAGTAGACACATATATTATCAGCCGGTTAAGCGAGCAGCTCCAGCCACACAGAATAGCTCGTGCCAGTCTATATGCTTTGTCATCTTCATCTCTATGCACTGGCACGTAGCAATATGATCAAGACTGAGTATTTCTCCCCCAAATCATGAACCATTTCATCGAAACAAGCCATGCTTTCTGCTTCCTGCTGTTCGCTGCCAAAGCTGTTTCTTTTTTAGCATGATAGCATTGTAGAAATTCCGGTATCGGGTTCATCGGCGGCGTGTTTTAAATGCGAATACATTTCTTAGTCGGGCTATGCCCGGTGTCCATCGATATCCGTCCACTACCCTCTCCCATAGCAACAGCTGCGGGCGCGTATTCAACCGGAGCCTTCGCCCTTTCATGCTTCAGCGTCGGCAGCTATCAGCAACAGTTGCGTGCGCACGCATTTATCCTCGCCCCTAGCAACCGAAGCTCCCACCTTCTTGGCTTGAACGTGACTTGCCACCGCCTCAATGCACTGCGTTTGAAACACATTTTTAGTGTTTGTGCTGCAAGTTTGTAGGGTTTATGTTGATAAGACGCTGACATTATGGCCATCAGGTACAATGACAAGTGCAGTGCTTCGCCGCTCCTTTTCTCACCATTCGCTCTCTCTCCTCCATGCGCCCCACTCTTTCGTTCGATGGAGTGACGCTGGTGCCGTTGCCGCCTCGCCCGTTTAAGACACGTCTCTGTACAAACACCTGTACACTCTTGCCTAGACCGCAGACGGAGTCGTTGTGGTGACCGTGTACCTCGCGCCCAACCTCGCTCATTTGCCACGCAACTAGAAGCGGCTAGGGAAAGTGCTTGTGTGCGCTTCAAAGTATCTGACCCCATCGTCTTGGTTGTTGACCTTAACGTGGACGTGAGAAAGAAAAGTGGCGAGTGGTTGGTGGAGCAGATGCGGACAAAGTATTCTATGCATTGTGCCTGCGCCGAGTCGCTCAAGTTCTCGACTACCAGTTACAAAAGTTGCAATAATCTCGTCTTTACCCGAAACTGTGACGTGCGCATGCTTCTCACAGACACTTTTATTGTACTCTTAAACTGTACAGATATTGCCGTCAGGTACAATGACAGCACAAACAGGTGCTGATGAATGTGTAAATAAATGATTATGGTACAAATGCTCGTCTCGTCAATAATTTACGCCATTAAATTTACTACGCCATGCATTCTTGGCCCAAGAGATGCATTCAAATTTCCTCACGATTCGCTTCAGGGAAGTGGGGGAATTTTTCGTTAGCAAGAAAGCCGTGGTGTCCGGGAGTGAAACTTCAATCTATGTGGAATTCCAATGGCCGATCGCGAGTGCTGGGCTGGATTGCGAATGGCGCGCAGAACCGAGCGGGGATTGCTCTCGCCAAACCTGAAATTTGAACGCACGTGTCTCGACGAGAGCTGTTTGTGAGCGGAAATCTAGCGAGGGCGTTTTTTGGACATCCATAAGCAACGCCCTAGGAAGTGTAGCCATAAGTGATTCCATGAAAGGCGGGTGCACAGAATACGTCACTTGAACTTCCGGTCAAATCCGCTGACTTCGCAGGAGCGAGAATTCTTGCTCCGCGGAGACATCCGTGATTTGCGGTGGCTCTCAACTTGCCATTGGAAAACACAATTCACGCTCCCGATGCGCCATGGGAATGTGATTGCTCCGCTCAGAGCAGAAAAACCTGACCTGGATCTGCCGTTGGAATTCAACACTAGATGTGGATAAAGATATGGGATAGAGGACTCATATTTCACCAAAATGACACCCAATGCTGGCATTTGCAAATGTGCATTGATAGATAATTTCAGAAGGGAATTTGGCATCATTATTGCAGACATATATCAAGTATGCTGTCTAATATAGCATCTCCTCTATCTATTACTACTCAAATGTGGATGCCGATTCTGAAACATATAGATTTTCTTTCACGGCTGTTTGAAGAAAATAGCGACAACATACAGTAGCTTGAAAAAAAAATGCGTGAGACCAGTCCTCTCTTTGTACCTAACTAGAACAAAGTGCTATTAATAGCAAGAGACGAGTAAGTAACGCTAGCACAATTTCATGTTGTCCCAAAGACTTCAATCTTTGTTAAGTGGAAGGCCACAAGTCAAACGTTCGCAGGCCGCATGGTTGAGAGACCTGTACGTACATACTGAAACCTCAACAAATCGCTGCGTGCTTACCTTAAAAACAAAGGCGCCGTCCTCGATGACTCCTGCAATCTCTCCGCAGCCGGGCGTCCGCGCACGCACCACATCCTCCAGCGACCTGCCGATGCCGGCTGACAACAACAGAGACGTTGTCCCGGGCGCGCCACCAGTTGACGCGGTACTTGCAGTGGTGCTAGACGGACTGGCAGTCGTGGAAATCACCGCCGCTGCCACCGTTACCAGCACCGTGAGCGTAACGAGCGCGGTGACCGCTGCGAGCACGCACATCTTGGGGCTGCACGTGCCTTGATGAGACCCTGCTCCTCCTGTGGTAGACCAGTAGTGGCGACGCGAACGCTGGGCGTGGTCTACAAGCCGAGACGCGGGAGCGGCGCTCGAAGTTGGCGAGTTGCGTGTGTCCTGCTGTGTGTCCGTGTACCGGACGAGGTCGTCCTCGTCGTCCAAATGGCTATAAGGTCGATGCGCGCCTCGCAGCAAGGACATGCTACACCATGAGCCAGCCGCTACTCAAGATCCGCCCGCCACCGCAGCACAGCCGTCTGTCGACGTCATTCCTCTGCGAGGGACCTCCGTCAGTGTTTCCAACCACTTGGTCGTACCTGTGAAGGTATACATAAGGAGTTGACATAGGCCTAATGAGAAAAAGCGTGTTTTGATAAGCTTATTCAAAGCAAGTGCATTTCATTGCTCATTTGTGAACTAAATTGTTGTGAATGAGTGTAAATAATCATACAAAAATGACGCGGTTTAAAGCATTATATGAGATCTTTTGAGCACGATATTCATGCGCTCAATAAAGCGCCCTTTCGTAAGGCGAGCGAAATATGTTACTATTATGGCAGACGCAAATAACGTTTTTTTTTTTCTAGGTGTCTAAATCCTTAAAGCGGCACCCGTTCGTCCCTCGTAATAGTGCGTAACACGTCTTACGCTTTGCCCTGCAAGGTGGTGCCGGTGGGAGATTTCCCCTGTGCGTGGTTGAACAATAAAAAATTTGCACCGTGCGCGTTCACTAAAAGCCGAATTTTCCGATCTCTTTTCCCAATTAGCAGCAATTGGTATGCACAGTGAGCACTACTTGACAAGAAAGGGTTGCTACGTTATACTCACTGGACGTAACCTTCTTGGTTTTAGAAAGGTTTAGCGAGTGTCGAGCCGCAGTGCCATGAATACAGTAAACTAGTGTATACCATGAACTCGAGATGGTTAAAGGTGGGAAGTAGACACGAAGCGCAAGCCGTAAGAAAGTGTGCATGTGCCACCTCTCGTTTAGTCCATGGAATATCCGCTGGATTGCGGTGCTTCTATATGCGGAATATATGATGAAAAGATGCGAGATGGTGGTACTTGCACTGTTGACTAGGTGGACGAACGGAGAGACAGACAGGCGCAAGGAAGGATGCATGGATGGCTTCACGGACGGATAGGCGCATGGACGGACGCTGGGGCGGATGCATGTACGAACGCAGGGACGGACGCAGGGGTGAACGCACGGATGGACGTGCGGACGCACAAACATACGCACGCACGGACGGGCGGATGGATGCACCTATAATCACATGGACGGACGCATGGATGGAAGCAAGAACGAATGGACGGACGGATGCTTCGCCCCACTCTCCATCATTCACCCCGTGGATATGCTGCCGTTTTTTTTAATTCTTGTTTCGCTTTCCTAAACAAGAAAATTACATCCTTTGTCGAAAATTTCCGCGCTAAAACCCACCTTATATCCGCGTCACTACAAGTGGTTCCAAATTCAGGTTACATTACCACAGAAAATTGCCATTGCTCCACACAACGCTAACGAAGAGAAACGCTAATGGCACAGTACGTTATGTTGGTCTAGTTGGTACATATTAGGCTGAAATACGAGGCGCAAGGTTGACAAAGAGAAAAAAAAGAGAAAAAAAGAGGAAAAAAAGAGTCTTTTTTTTTCTCTTTGTCAGCCTTGCGTCACGTATTTCAGCCGCTAATGGCACAACTACAAGCGATGAAGCCAGCCGCTATGCGCACGGGACTCCACCGAACAGCCAACGCTCGAAAAGAAGAAGAGAACGAGGGTGTCTGGGCAGAGGTTCACGAAGACAACCGACCTTCGGATCTTCTTGATTGTTGTACGTCGTTCACTTTACGCACAAGTTCGCCCCTTAATAAACGGTGTAAAGAGACATCCTTGTTGTGAGGCTGCTACATTCATTGCAATATTTCATACGCATGAAAACACCATTATAGACGAGAGTCGTGGTATAAACATGTGTATACGTTGTGTGTGTGTGTGTGTGTGTGTGTGTGTGTGTGTGTGTGTGTGTGTCTGTGTGTGTGTGTGTGGTGAAAAGCAGCCGTTCTTCATGTCCTTAGTATCCACACATTTATTCTTCCACTAGGGTATGACTCCCTCGTGAGAGTGCTAGGCAGCCTGCTTATGATATGCACTTGGATATTAATCAATTGCTTATCATGCTCGTTATCCTAATTCTCATTTGAAACAACAACGACGCATTGAGGTTCACGACGGAGCAGCTACCACATGAACAAAATTGAAAAAAGACCGATTCAGTGCTGTAGCACATTCACGGAAGGTGTTGCGCACGATGGGTGCATTATAGCATGAACATTTTCGATAAAACGATTAAAAGACAAAAACGCTTTTCCTTTACGACTGGTTGTATCAATCACCGCACCCCCTCCCCTCCTTTCCGAATTCATTATGCACGTAACGCAACTTTGCATTGCCGCCAGGAGTGGATGCACCGCAAGCATTGTGAACCAGAACAGGCTTCCGCTGGTTACGTCAGCCGCTCACCACGGACCGAGCTAAAATGCCATAAGGACAATCACGACACATAAATGATTTTTCTTTTCGTGTCCTTCTTTTTAAAGCTAACCACGTCAAAGCCGACAATCAGTTGTCGTCTTTGGTGGGGCTTGTGAGGTTTCCGACCTAATCAACCTGACCAGTAATCGGAGCAATATGTTTTTTTTAGTATTTGATGCACGTAACCAACGATTTCAAATGAAGTGGTGTTGCTTTCATCCTTGAACTACTTCTATGATCAGCTGACTGCTGGCCGTGTAACAAAAGGATAAATTTAGTAAATGAAACCCAGTGAGAATTCACGAGCGCATCTTCATTAATTAGTCTTCTGTTCAGAAGGTGGCTGGCGAATGTGCGCTTCAGCGCACAACACTGAAGATCACGAGAGTGGCCACAACATTTGTAGAATATGGTACAAATCCTTGCGTAATGCGTGTCAAACTGTTCAATTTTCCCGCTTTCGATACATATAGCTTCCTAGAGCAGTCATCAAAGGAGAACTATTCACTGTTTTATTGAATGATAGTTCGTATCGTGCATATTCTAGAAGATGTATTGCAGAGTCGAAATACATGTCTGCATGCTAAGAAAGATGACTGAAAATGCGCTGATGTGGAGCACGCGACCCAATTGATGCCATTTATGCTTTCTTCAGCATGGGACTTCTTCCTTGTGAAACTGTCCACACGATGACGTAACCGGGGGTGTGCCCAGAGGACCGGAGCCAGCCAGAGTCTCGGGGAGATCTCGAGGAGAGGAGCCGGGAGCTGCTAAGAGTAACTTTTATTTACACTATTTACAGGTAGAATGTTTCCACATGATGGGGTTAGCATCATGGAAGCCCTCGAGCTGCTGTGAGCTTCTCGGAGCTTGTGAGAGCTCGTCGGGAGCGCCTCGGCGTTCGCATTTTATGTCGTGGCCTTCCCAGGATTATCTGCAGAAAAAAACAAGGGCAGCCAGGGGAGTCCAATAAGGTTTGTCATCTTCACCTCCGCCCCCGAAAGGGGAAGGTGAAACACCCCCTCCTTTCTAACCCACGAAAGCGGGAATAGGCACGCCCAGTTCAGCCCACGGCGAGGGAGAAAACATTGCACGCCGCGTACGACACAGCACAGCACGAAGACGTCGAGTCTTACGTGGAAATCAATTTCGTAGCCTGCTGCAGTGATGGGTTTGCGGCGCCAGGCCGACCACAAATTGAAGAAACAGTGGCATCAAGGTGCCATGGAGAATGTAGAAAAGGCATCCGTAGACGGTTCTCTGTCGCTTGGCTTATTGTCCGCGGCACTCAGACGAACAGAGACGTATAGTCATTACCACCTTTTCAAGCCATTTTGAGTGTAAACAGCCTTTCATAGATCACCGGTCAGTCGCGCAAGTTCAAAAGGGTTCTACGAGGAGTGATGGCTGCACCGCAAAATTCCAAGTACGGCTTGCGTGTCGTGGCCGCTTGTGGTTCATCTCTGGGAGCGCTGTCCCGCAACCGTCTCACGTCAAAGCGACGCCATGTCAGGAAGGCCGATCATAGCAAAGATAAGTGATCTGGCTGTTTACAGTGGGCCGATCCTCATAATGATGGGTGAGCTGAGTGAGCTGACTGTTTTCAGTGGGCCGTAGATGCATTGCACTTACCTACCAACCAGCAGTGACATGGTGAATAGACAGGCGTGCAGACCCACTCACCCCAAAAGCAAATAAAGTATATTGAGGCTTGTACTTGAAGAAAACTTTAGTCTTACTGACTAACGTTTTTTGCACATAGAGCTTTCAGATACCATATTTCATTTTGCCAGGTAATATCGTAACCAATATAGTTCTCTGCCAGCAGATGTATAATCTAGTTGCTAAGGGAGCCGATCCTAGTGAATTATTGTTGTTATACTATCACTTGAATATGTTGGATGCTGTTGTGGTATACTTGAGAATTTAATTTGGTGCACACATTTATACCGCTGATGTTTACATAAATCCAAACACACAGGCAGTTTTCTGCGTTTTTCGATTGGTTGTCTAAGTCTTGTTCTTGAGTCAAGCAGTGCTATGCCTCCTACGACTGGGACAACGCATCTGGTGACTGAAGCATCACAGCGATATTCTATTTCTGTGGGCTATTCAGAAAATTTGAGCACGGATGATCTGCAATAGTAGCCTTAGATGCAAAAGAAGTTTATTGTTTGATATTTAGGTATTAAAAATATTCCTTTGTGGTTCTCACTTGCCCTCTGCCTACATCCGTTACGAAAGCATAGATCAAAGAAAGAAAAAATAAACTTACAGATTCTTATGAACCAACGCGTCCTAATCTTTTCCTGGGAACTACTACATCAGTTCCATGTGAACAAGTCATATGACTATAATTAAACCATGAATAAAAGTTATCCCGTGACGCTCTCTATACTGCAACAGAACTGAATTTTTATTGTTTATTTTCTTGGATTTAGACGCTCGAGCAAGACGAGAGATCTGCATCAGTGGCGTGTTTTCCACCTCAAGTATGAAAAGTTCCAAACTTTTTTGCTTCTTCCTTCTCAATTTTCCTTGGAAAGCTGATGTTATTTTTTCTCTTCCCTTGCCAAAATGCGTGACTCTAATTCCTACACTGCACACACGGTCGATGCTTCGCTGCCGACTCTCACAAGAGCACTAAACGAGAACGCAGCCACATCGTGTACGTCATCTCAAGTTAAGGCACTTCGGAAGAAAAAAGGCAAAATATAAAAAGCGATGCTGCTGCACCCAGGCTTGCGGGAAAAAAAAGAA